TTGGAAACCAAAGTGCGGCTTCCGATTGGCTGCAGGAAGCCCCATCGGACGTTCGGCTTCCGAAAACAGGTCGCAAACCAGAACACTCACTTCCGGGTTTGCAGCATTCAGGAGCCAAAGCGTTCAAGAACCAAGCTGTTCGAAAACCAGGGTACAACTGTATAACCTCTGCAAAAGTCAATGCGCTTCGTTTCTGGAACCCATAGAATAGGAATAGAAATAGGAAATAGGAAATTTATACCCCGCCCATCGGGCTGGGTTTCCCCAGCCACTCTTGGCGGCTTCCAACAGAGTATTAAAATACAGTGGTCTATTAAACATTAAAAACTTCCCTAAAGAGGGCTGCCTTCAGATGTCTTCTAAAAGTTTGGTAGTTATTTTTCTCTTTGGCATCTGGTGGAAGGGTGTTCCACAGGGTGGGTGCCACCACCGAGAAGGCCCTCTGCCTGGTTCCCTGTAACTTGGCTTCTCAAAGTGAGGGAACCGCCAGAAGGCCCTCGGCGCTGGACCTCAGTGTCCAGGCAGAAGGATGAGGGTGGAGACGCTCCTTCAGGTATACTGGATCGAGGCTGTTTAGGGCTTTAAAGGTCAGCACCAACACTTTGAATTGTGCTCGGAAACGTGCTGGTGAAACCCTAGATGGGCCCATGTTGCTGTCCTAGGCACCTGCCTCTCCTGTGGCCCTTTGCAACGGGAGTTGCCTTGAGTTGAAGCCACCCTGTGGTAGACTTGCCTCATAACCTCTCCTTGCTTTCTCCCCAGACTCGAGGGGGCGTGGGGCTGCGGCGCATCCTCCACTCGCTCTTCTGTTCCCGCCGGCGCCTGCCCCTCCTGGCAACTCTCTACCTCCTCACGGTCCACGTGCTCCTCCTCCTCTGCTTCACCGGCCACTTGTGAGAACAGCCCCCCGGAGTGGGGTGGGGCACGTGAGTTGTCCGGGTTGCTACCGAGCCCCCGTCCCTGGAGGACCCTGCCTTGCTGTCGACGGATGAGAAGCCTGTCTTGGGAGACTCCGGCACCTTGGGGAGGTTGGCTGGAGGCCGCAGGGAGTGTTGCAGAGAGCTCAGGGTGGCCCCCAGCCCGCGGAAGGGCGGGGCCAGCGGCCCTTGACTGGGCCACACGTTGGTTTTGTTCGTGTTCTTCGAGGGAAGCGTTGGGGGGTGGCGGCGTTTACACGGTTCACTTTTGCACACTGAATTCGGGGTGAAGTCGCTTCGCGTTTAACCTGGCGCCTTCCAGATCTGTTTTAGACTATGATTCTCACCAGGCCTCAGCAACGGAGGGGCTGAGACTTTGAAACATCTGGGGGGCACCAGGTTTCCAAAGTTCATTTGGGAGGGGAATACAAGCGGAGGTTGTGCATAAGGTCCCCCCCCCCCCATTTTTAACAATGCTGCGTTGGTTGTGATCTGCAGACAAAGGGAAGTCAGTTTGTGGGATCGCAGCCCACCGAGGGCCAGACCTGCTTTCTGTGCTGAGTCCGCAGGTATTGGCATATCCTGATTCTGGGGAAGGGACCAAGGGGAACTCAATCAACTTCCAGCTTGCCTTTTCTCCCTTTTATTTCTTCGTGCTCTGTGATTTTGGCACCGGGGGGGCTGGAAGGGTGGCATCGAAAGGGACAGAAGCCCCAGGCGTACATCTCTTATCGGCGGCTCCCCACCCGACAGAGGCAGAGAGAAGGGGCTGGAATGGCTTCATGCTCACCAGTGAAGATAAATCAACTTGTCTGTGGCCGCCAAGCCCCTTTCCTACACATTGCAGAGGAGAGGAAATCAGGGTAGATGTAGGGGGAGCAGAGTTATGAAACCCACCCCTCAGCTTCCCGTTGGAGTGGGGCAGGATGTCTTAGCCCTGCTTGGTGGGGTGTTTTAACTCTTTCCATTGTGCACAGACATTTTGGGATAGCTCTTCCCTTGCAGTTCAGGAGGCTGCTGGAAGCATCCTCTGTGGACCTCGAACTGAGGCCCTGCCAGCCGTTTTTTGGGGGTGCTCCCAGCGTGTGGTGTGTAGACTTCCCTTGTCCCTCTTCCTTTCAAATCCAGTCTTCTGATCCTCTTGAAATCCTATCCTTGTGCAATAAAGATTATTTTTTCGAGCGAGTCGTGTGAATGCTGTGATTGGGTCGGACTCTGCCTGCTGTGGTTCTCGCATTCGGCTCTGACACCCCTTTATTATAACTTTTCGACAGCACGGTTGGATGCACTCCGGAATTTGGCAGCTCAAGGGTAACAAAAGATAAATCAGAAGTAATATTATGTGAAATATACAGACAGCTCTTGGCTCTAAATGCAAACATGGAAGCACATAGAAATTTTTGGGTGCGCTAATATTAGTCAGAGAAAATGGGAATGTCGGGAAGAGCTATTTTAGCTGAGCTTTCTAAGAATTTCAGGATAATAATAATAATAATAATAATAATTTTTATTTATACTCCGCCCTCCCCAGCCAAGACTGGGCTCAGGGCGGCTAACACCAAATATAAAAAACAATTGACTGAAATACAGCTTTAAAAAAAAAGATTAAAATACAACATTAAAACATTACAATGCAACCTCATTTCATAGAATCATAGAATCATAGAGTTGGAAGAGACCACAAGGGCCATCGAGTCCAACCCCCTGCCAAGCAGGAAACACCATCAGAGCACTCCTGACATATGGTTGTCAAGCCTCTGCTTAAAGACCTCCAAAGAAGGAGACTCCACCACACTCCTTGGCAGCAAATTCCACTGTCGAACAGCTCTTACTGTCAGGAAGTTCTTCCTAATGTTTAGGTGGAATCTTCTTTCTTGTAGTTTGGATCCATTGCTCCGTGTCCGCTTCTCTGGAGCAGCAGAAAACAGCCTTTCTCCCTCCTCTATGTGACATCCTTTTATATATTTGAACATGGCTATCATATCACCCCTTAACCTCCTCTTCTCCAGGCTAAACATGCCCAGCTCCCTTAGCCGTTCCTCATAAGGCATCGTTTCCAGGCCTTTGACCATTTTGGTTGCCCTCCTCTGGACACGTTCCAGTTTGTCAGTGTCCTTCTTGAACTGTGGTGCCCAGAACTGGACACAGTACTCCAGGTGAGGTCTGACCAGAGCAGAATTTCAGTAGAAACTCAATCAAAAGCTCAATCAAAAACCCTGCGGACAGAAGCATGAAGGGTAGCAGAAGGCGAAACTAGGCACATCTCTAATGCGTTTGCTACGTTTTATGAAAACGTGCATATCTGATAACCCTGACCCTGAGAACATCGACAAATATTTGATTTAAGACTCGAGATCACAGAGCGGTATTAAAAGAACCTATTTCAGCAATTGAAATAGAAGATGCTATTTTTTTTAAAAAAACCAAAATTGGTGGGAGGCACCCTTGGCATGGATGGATTGGGGGGTGAATTTTGTAAGTTCTTAAAAGAGCAACTTCTACCACAGCTGCATAAAGCGTTCAACTTGGAGGGACTGTAATGGTTGTGCTGTTGAAGCCATGCAAGGACCGTGCTCGTTTGGGATCCTACCATCCCATAATTCTCATTAACACGGGACACGGAAGATTCGGGGCAGACAAATGAAAATCCTTCACAAAGCACGTAACCTGTGGAACTCCCTGCCACAGGAGGCAATGGCAACTACCAACCTAGATGGCTTTAGAAGAGAATTGGAGAAATTCAACGGCTTCTTGCCACGATGGCTGTGCTGTGTTCCACTTGGAGGCAGCAATGCTTCTGAAAGCTAGTTGCTGGAAACCCCAGGAGAGGAGAAGGCTCTTGTGTTCGAATCCTGCTTGCGGGCTTCCCACAAGGCATACCCTCCAATAGGCCCTAGAAGAAAACCAGGATGTGCATATTTTGGGGCCGTGATCTCTCAGGAGCCAGGTGACTTGCAAGAGAGCACAGCCCCCCCCCCCGAAAACGGGATGTCCCACTTAAATTGGGACAACTGAGGGGGATGATAATGGACATCTGGTTGAGTACTGCGAGAACAAGATGCTGGAATAGATGGCTAATTGGCCTGATCCAGCAGACTCTTGGCATTCCTATTTATAATCCTGACTCTCGAGGGGGTCTGAAGATGATCTTTCTGGTGTTGAGGGCAGTTCAGGTATTCTACATTGTGTGATGAACTGTTCTCTTGGGTCTACTGCCAGTCAATTTCGCTGAACTTTTAACATGGGAAGAGGATGGGGAAAACAACAACATATTATATTATTATTATTATATTATTATTGTTGTTGTTGTTGTTATTAATACTCTGCCTATCTGGCTGGGTTTCCCCAGCCCACTCTGGGTGGCTTCCAACGGAATATGAAAACACAATACAGTGTTAAACATTAAAAACTTTCCTTAAACAGGGCTGCCTTCAGATGTCTTCAAAAAGTCAGATAGTGGTTTATCTCCTTGACATCTGATGGGAGGGCGTTCCACAGGGCGGGCGCCCACCACCGAGAAGTCCCTCTGTCTGTTTCCCTGTAACTTCACTTCTCACAGGGAGGGACCGCCAGAAGGCCCTTGAACTGGACCTCAGTGTCTGGGCAGAACGATGGGGGTGGAGATGCTCCAGGTATACTGGAGCAAGGCCATTTAGGGCTTCAAAGGTCAGCACCAACACTTTGAATTGTGCTCAGAAACGTACTGGGAGCCAATGTAGGTCTTTCAAGACTGGTGTTACGTGGTCTTGGCCGCCACTCCCAGTCACCACAGGGCAGGCGCCACCACTGAGAAGGCCCTCTGCCTGGTTCCCTGTAACCTCACTTCTCTCAGCAAAGGAACCACCAGAAGGCCCTCAGTGTCTGGGCTGAATGATGGGGGGAATCACACCCTCTCCGCTCTGCGTGATCTAAAAGCCTCGCATTCAGAAGCCTTTCCTCCTATGGAAAGCAATGGGGCGCTTCCTCTCTGCACCCAGGGCTTGTGTGCGTGCGATGCAGCCCTTCTGGGGGTGGCTCTGCTGCGAAGCTTCTTCCTCCTGGCTCACAGGAAATGGAACAAGTTTTGTGCAGTTAAAACAGGAACTTGGGTGAGCTCAGCCTTGCAGCCGAAACCGAGGTCGAAGTCAGCGCAGAGGAGCAATCACGACGGGCTTCGGAAGTCACCTTTCCGAACCAAGGTACTGCTTTGGGGTGGGGGAATTGTCAGCAAAGTTGCAATAGGCGTGGGGGGCTTCGGGAGGGAAGTGTCTGGCCCTGTTCTGGTCCCCCACCCCTCAATTCACACTCTGCATAGTTAGACTATGGAACTCCCTGCCACAGGAAGCAGCGGTGGCCACCAGCCTAGATGGCTTTGAAAGCGAATTTGACAAATTCATGGAGGGAGGTGAGGAGTAGCGATGGCTACTGCCCACAATGGCTCTGCTCTGGAAACCGCAAGAGGGGAGATCTGTTCTTGTGCACTGATCTTGCCTGCGAAGTTCCCCCTGGGGCATCTGTTCAGCCACTGCGAGAACAGATGCTGGACCAATTAGGCCACTGGCCTGATCCAGCAGGATCTTCTTGGTATCTATTTCTCCACTCCCCAGTGTGATAAGAAAAAACAACTGCTCCTTTCCCTTATGGGGTACCCAAGAGCCCCTATAGGGTCCTTATGTAGGTTCTCTATTGGTAGGAGAAAATAACAGGCCAAACAGAGAATATTGAGAAGCAAAGCAGCTAGTAAGCCTGATCTTTATTAATCTGTTGTGACAGTTGCCCCCGCTCACCCCACGCAGGAGGGAGGAGAGGAACCCAGAACACTGCGTGTGCAAGCCCTTATATAGACTTTTGAAACTGTCTCTCCTGTAACTCAAGACCACCCCCCGAAACATCATACATGCATCACAGAAAGAGGTGGTCCCCAGCAGAAATTTGAGTGTGTTGCTTCTCTCCTGTTGGCCAGGATACCTGATAATGCTTTATTATTATCTGATTGCCTTTTCTGGGTAGCCTGGCCATTCCTTTGAGATGGTAAATTAGTTCCTGAATCTCTTATGCAAGTTGATAGTCTGCTCAGGTTAACAGATACTTGCCAGACTGTATTTACAGGGAGGTGTAAGCAGCCCCTACAGTCCAAAGACAATTGGAAAGCTTTTCCCATCTCCTTCCTCCTTGCAGAGAAATATTTGAGGTCAATTTGGGAGAGTCAAAAATGGCTTCAGGATTGTTCTCCTGTACTATTTCAGAGACGTGGTTTATATACTTATGTATGTGTTTGCCTTGTACATTTATGAACATTTATTTCATATATGTAAAGGGTAAAGGGACCCCTGACCATTAGGTCCAGTCGTGACCGACTCTGGGGTTGCGGCGCTCATCTCGCTTTATTGGCCGAGGGAGCCGGCGTACAGCTTCCGGGTCATGTGACCAGCATGACTAAGCTGCTTCTGGCGAACCAGAGCAGCGCACGGAAACGCCGTTTACCTTCCTGCCGGAGCGGTGCCTATTTATCTACTTGCACTTTGATGTGCTTTCAAACTGCTAGGTTGGCAGGAGCAGGGACCGAGCAACGGGAACTCACCACGTCACGGGGATTCGAACCACCGACCTTCTGATCGGCAGGTCCCAGGCTCTGTGATTTAACCCACCCGCCACCCACGTCCATATATATATATAAGACCTTAGAATTCCTATAACACCAGATAGGGAGCTGCTGCCCACGTTTGTAGCACCCAAGTGGGCAGGATGAAGAAGCAACATCCTTTGCTCAGCTGGGTGTATTGGGAAGGGAATGTGCTACACATTCTGGTGTGGCCAGAGATGAGGGACAACCAAGCATTTTTGGCGCATTCCATTTTCTTTTCATTTCACTTTTAATTTGTGTTCTGCCTCCTTTCCACATGACTATGCACAAGGCCATTGACAAGCCGAAGGAACAACAGTGACCGCACGCCTTGCAGCAACCTGATCTAATGCAATAATAATCATAATAATAATATTTATACCCCGCCCATCTGGCTGGGCTTCCCCAGCCACTCTGGGCGGCTTCCAACAAAATTAAAATACCTTAATACATCAAACATTAAAAGCTTCCCTAAACAGGGCTGCCTTCAGCCCTGTCATAATAAAAGTCATAATGATGTCATAATATCATGTCATAATAAAAGCATAACTTTAAACAACTTCCATCAAATAAAGTAATAATCCTTTAGAATATGAAAGTACACAATAAAATTAAATACCAGCAGATAAGAATTAAACAGAAATTCACTCTTAACAATTACAATAAACAATTTCTAAGCTATGTTACTGGAATTTATGTAAAGGAGAGGGCGGTTTGCCCCTCCAGTGGACATCATTCACACACATTATGAGTCCACCGCTCTTAACCACTACACCACACTGGCTCTTAATACAGTGCCACCGTGTCTTATACTGGGGTTCAGTTCCAAGGAGTTTCACATTATTACAGGAAAAACCACCTCCTTTTCCCCTATGGGGTATCCAAGAGCCCATATAGAGTCCTTAAGTGGGTTCCCTATTGGTAGGAGAAAATAACAGAGGCCAAGCAGAGAAGATTGAGAAGCAAAGCAGCTAGTAAGCCTGATCTTTATTGATCTGTTGCAACAGGGTCCTCTGCTCACCCCACACAGGAGGGAGGAGAACCCCGAACAACGGTGCACAAGCCCTTATATGTTGTTGTTCTTTAGTCGTTTAGTCGTGACCCCCTGGACCAGAGAACGCCAGGCCCTCCTGTCTTCCACTGTCTCCTGCAGTTTGGTCAGACTCATGCTGGTCTCTTTGAGAACACTGTCCCACCATCTCGTCCTCTGTCGTCCCCTTCTCCTTGTGCCCTCCATCTTCCCCAACATCAGGGTCTTTTCCAGGGAGTCTTCTCTTCTCATGAGGTGGCCAAAGTCTTGGAGCCTCAGCTTCAGGATCTGTCCTTCCAGGGAGCACTCGGGGCTGATTTCCTTCAGAATGGAGAGGTTTGATCTTCTTGCAGTCCATGGGACTCTCCAGAGTCTCCTCCAGCACCAGAATTCAAAAGCATCAATTCTTCAGTGATCAGCCTTCTTTATTGTCCATATAGACTTTTGAAATTGCCCATCCTGTAGCCCAAGACCACCCCCCAAAACGTCATGCATACATCACAAAAGCTCTACAGCAGAAATCTTTTTTGCCAGGATATCTGTTAATGGTCACTGATTGCTTTACTTGGGCAGCCTGGCCATTTTTTTGTGATGGCAAATACTTTAGTTCCTAAATCCAGGCCAGAGGCTCACCCTAGTCATACACAAATGCAGTCTTAATACAGGATATGCAAGCAAAAAGACAATGGAGAGGCTTTCCCCATTTCCTCCCTCCTTGCAGAGAAATCTATTGAAGTCAATTTGGGAGAGTCCAAATGGCTTCAGGATTGCTCTCCTGTACTATTTCAGACACGTGGTTTATATACTTATGCATGTGTTTGCCTTGTGCATTTATGAACGTTTAATTTATATTTGGGACCTCAGAATTCTTATCACAACGTATTTGTAGAACTGGACTCCCAGGCAGAATAGAGCGATACTATGACTTCGATAAGGTAGAATTATTACTTATAATTTTTCTCCCTCTCTCCTTGAGATGTGGAAGGCAGCGGTGGGACACAATGTGTCCATGAAGGTGGAGTCCCAAGGAGACGACTGGGACACAGACCCCGATTTTGTGGTGAGTTTTCTCTATTCCCCTAGGATCGCTGCTTTCGGGGATTTCTTGGGCTCTGTCGCTTCTGCATCTTCCGAAAAGAAGAAGAAGAAGAGTTTGGATTTGATATCCTGCTTTATCACTACCCGAAGGAGTCTCAAAGCGGCTAACATTCTCCTTTCCCTTCGTCCCCCCCCCCACAAACACTCTGTGAGGTGAGTGAGGCTGAGAGACTTCAGAGAAGTGTGACTGGCCCAAGGTCACCCAGCAGCTGCATGTGGAGGAGCGGGGATGCGAACCCGGTTCCCCAGATTATGAGTCTATCGCTCTTAACCACTACACCACACTGGCCTCATGGGAGGGAGAGAAGCTCATCTCTCAGGAACTGACAGAGCATCAGGGCTCGGAGGAAAGAGAAAAAATGGAAGGAACTGAGAAGGGGATCTCAGCTGCACCCCCCAGGGTTGGCAGCTCTATATCCATGTTAGGGGTGGGGAGAACCTCAGGATTGGGGGATGAATGCACCCCATAGATCTCTCTACCTGCCTCCAGGACTTTCCTCCAGGTGACACCCCTTGCCAGCCCTGCCTTCTTCCTTTGAGGGTTCACTGGCTGTTTCCTCCCCACATCCCTCTGCTTCCAACCAGTCTTATGACACAGGATAACGCAGAAGGCCGTGGCAATAATGTCAATGGCAATTTAGATCCCTGACCAATTGTGTGTGTGTCTCTCTCTTGCAGAACGACATCTCAGAGAAAGAGCAGAGGTGGGGGGCGAAAACCATCGAGGGCTCCGGTCGCGCAGAGCACATCGAGTGAGTTATTGTTCCCTCTCCTCCTGCTGGTTCAAACTTGAGTAATGGCCCAGGTGGCTTGTTAAAGCCATGCGTGCACCAGAGAGAGCAGACCCGGCACTTTGCTGCGGTGGGGGTGGCAGGCCTTGGAAGGAATGAAGGGAAGCAGCAAAGGTCTCAGGGGGGAAATTCCATCAATTATTTCTCTCCTAGTTCTGTGCATTGTTAAAAATGGGTGTTGAGGACATGAGATATTGACATTTGTTTTTTTAATTTTTTTTTATTAGTTTTGCACAAAGTTATACACAATAACTGTAACCATTCCAAAACATAAAAATAAAACAGGTTCTTTCGAACCTCCGGACCTCTTTCCATCCCTCCATGAGTTCCAATTCTATTTTTAAAAAACTTTTTCTTTTCCCCCTGCATCTTTTACCATTATCCATCTATTACAGGGCTCAGCACACTTTTTCAGCAGGGGGCTGGTCATATTTTAAAAATATGAATGAATACCCATGCCCCACTGTAATGGTTCTAGGGGTTGCTCGTGCGTAAGCCGGTGCAAACACCTGGCTGGGTTGCCTGAGTGAACCTTTTCTGTCCGGACAGCCACTCTCTCGTGGCTGACTCAATCGCTGGCAGAATCCGTCAGTGGGCGTTTCTTAAACTTCTTCCAGCAAAGAAGCTCTTTGATGCCTAGTCTCCTCCTACTCTCTCTGCGCGAAAGCCTTCTGCGCAAGGAGGGCGTAGGCAGCGGAGGACCTCTACTCTTCCCGCTGGTCCCAGGCAAGGAGTCATGGGACCGCCTCGCCGCTTCCCCCATCTGCCCCCCTTCTCCACTGGTGCTACGCTGATTCTCTTCCCCAGAAGATGGGCTGCCTCTCCCACTCCTGGGACGCTCTCTGGAACCCCTCTGGATTTTGCTCTCTCCCTCTGGCACTGATGGCAGTTCCCTGACACCCACAAATAACCCAGAGATGTATTTTAAATAAAAGGACACCTTCTGCTCATGTAAAACCACGCTGATTCCTGACCGTCTGCGGGCCGGATTGAGAACGCGATTGGGCCAGATCTGGCCCCCGGGCCTTAGGTTGCCTACCCATGATCTGTTATAATCATAGAATCATAGAATCATAGAATCATAGAGTTGGAAGAGACCACAAGGGCCATCGAGTCCAACCCCCTGCCAAGCAGGAAACACCATCAGAGCACTCCTGACATATGGTTGTCAAGCCTCTGCTTAAAGACCTCCAAAGAAGGAGACTCCACCACACTCCTTGGCAGCAAATTCCACTGTCGAACAGCTCTTACTGTCAGGAAGTTCTTCCTAATGTTTAGGTGGAATCTTCTTTCTTGTAGTTTGGATCCATTGCTCCGTGTCCGCTTCTCTGGAGCAGCAGAAAACAACCTTTCTCCCTCCTCTATGTGACATCCCTTTATATATTTGAACATGGCTATCATATCACCCCTTAACCTCCTCTTCTCCAGGCTAAACATGCCCAGCTCCCTTAGCGTTCCTCATAAGGCATCGTTTCCAGGCCTTTGATCATTTTGGTTGCCCTCCTCTGGACACGTTCCAGTTTGTCAGTGTCCTGACAAATCGTAGTAACCAAAGTTCATTTCACTTTACAACTGTCCATTGTATCCCTGCCAATGATTTTAAGTGTCTACAGTGGTCCTTTAAGTATATTATGAAGTTATTCCAATCTTTAAAAAATACTTGGTCTTCCTGTTTTCTGACTTACTTGTCAGTCTTGCCATTTCTGCATATTCCATTAGCTTGACATTTTGACATTTGAACAGAGTGGCTTCTTAAAAGCATCACGCACACCCCTCCAAAAAGTGACGACCAAAAAAGGGGCATTGCATTGCTCTGCGTTGCTTCCAACTGTATAATGCTGTGATTCTTAGGACACAGGTGGGCATAGAATTTGCAGATATCTATTAACCACAGAGCCTAGGGCCAATCGGAAGGTCGGCAGTTCGAATCCCCGTGACGGGGTGAGCTCCAGTTGCTCGGTCCCTGCTCCTGCCAACCTAGCAGTTCAGTAGCAGATCAAAGTGCAAGTAGATAAATAGGTACCGCTTTGGCGGGAAGGTAAACGGCGTTTCCTGTGCGCTGCTCTGGTTCGCCAGAAGCGGCTTAGTCATTCTGGCCACGTGACCCGGAAGCTGCACGCCGGCTCCCTCGGCCAGTAAAGCGAGATGAGCACTGCAACCCAGAGTCGGCCATGACTGGACCTAATGCTCAGGGGTCCCTTTACCTTTACCTTTACCTTTACCTATATATCAGATATAAAATTAGATGCCAATTTAGAAATTATTACTATTAACAGAACTACCATGCACTTCACCATAGTGAGGATTAGACTCACGGCCGAACGATGTGTCTTCCTGGCTCATGCTGCAAATTGGTGATGGGCAACTTCCAGGCCCCTGAAGCAGCAGCAACAGCAAGAGCAGCTCTGGCTTTTGAGGGTTCTTCATCTTTCACATGGGCTTGGGCAAAAAGGAAGGCTGGGATTTCTGCGTTGCAGGGGGCTGGACTAGATGACCGCTGTGGGTCCCTTCCAACTCTACGATTCTATGATTCTGTGACCTTCAGGCAGAGTTCTCCTTCAGACAGAGGACTGTCCCCTGTCAAGATTGAGCAGACGTCTCTCCTCTGCAAAGTGGGTCCCAGGAACCCATGGCCGCCCTGTTCTTGAACACGGGTGCAAGGATCTGCATGGGAGACTCTGCCCCCAGATGCAGCAGTGCCTCTGGGCTGTGATTTGAAATGATGCAGGAAGCGGCCCCTTCTGCACTCTCAGGGCCAATTGCAGCCCTGCGTCACGTCACCTTCAGGGGTTGCCATGGCCGCGCCTGCTTCTTGCAGGAAAAGGAAGTGGTCTGCGTTCAGCGAGCTGCTTGCCAAATAAGGGCTTTTGCAGGTCAGCCACAAATAGAAGAGTCTCCCGGAGAGGAAGGGGACGCTAATAAGAGCATTGGCTTGTTTGGGGTCCACCTGGCTGAAGAGAGATCATTGACTTACGTTGCACCCAACATCCATGTGCCAGTTTGGGGCAGTTTCTGCAGCCATGTAGGAATGACATCTAACTCCTTGTGATTTGCAGTGACTGGTTCCTTGTTCTGCCCTCAGAAATCTGAGTGAGCAAATGGTTTCCTTCCTCTTTCTAAAAGATCTCTGTATTTTTAGTATTTACAGTGGACCCTCCAGATACGAACTTAATTCGTCCCAGGGCTCCGTAAAGGTAAAGGTAAAGAGACCCCTTACCATTAGGTCCAGTTGTGACTGACGCTGGGGTTGCGGTGCTCATCTCGCTTTATTGGCCGAGGGAGCTGGCACTTACCCCAAAAAGCCCGTATCTGGAGGCGCTGATTCTGCACACCCGCACGGCGCGATAGAGTGTTTCTGCACAACCGCGAAGCATGCAGAGAGCTTCTGTGCATGTATACACTTCTGGGTTTGCCACATTCGTAACTCGCAATTACGTTACCCAAAGGTAACGTAACCTGAAGTACCACTGTATTTATATATATAAAAATCTACGAGTTGCTCCTCTATTTGGACCCATGTTAGGGCAAAACCTTTATTGGGCCAACCGAAATGTCACAAAATAGCATGCAAGCTTTTGTACTCTCTGGAAAGAGAGAGGGAGAGGGAAAACCAGCTCATTGACAAGAATTGCAGCCGCACAACAATGCAACAGATTGCGCAGGGTAGGTCTCAGTTGCCACAAAGCTAATCCAGCTGTTTCTTTGGGGTTCAGTGGATCTGCTGCCTGCTCAAAATTCTAGTGCCATTGCATGGAAGCAAGAAGCTAGACCTTCCTTCAGTAGCATATATGAGGAATCTGCTGGACCAGGCTAGTGGCCCATTTCTTCGGCATCCTGTTCTCACAGTGGCTGACCAGATGCCCCAAAGCGATGCTCACAAGCAGGATCCGAGCCCAAGAGCCCTCTGGTATTCAGAAGCATTGCTGCCTTCAAACATGGAGACACAATAAAGCCATAGCAGCTAGGAGCCATGGATAGTCCTCTCCTCCTCCTCCTTTATTTATTTATTTTGTATTTATTATTGATAACAATTTATTGATTCTCCAAAAATAACAATACACAAAAAGGGGGGGGGAGAGTTCAGAACCAAATTAAAGCATAAATTTTAGTCGACTTCCCCCTCTTGATTCCATTATAATCTACTTGTTTATGCACGTCCATAAAACCTTATATACTTAACAATTCAATTTTAAAACCTTCTCCATCTTATTACAAATGACTTTTAAAAGTTATACCAATGTCAAAATCTGTACACAAAGCTTTAAAGATATGCTTTAAACTATTGCCCTTTTTGTAATAATTTGTCCTGCATAGTTCAATATTTTTTCCGGGTTTTGCCGCTTGCGCATGCGCAGAAGTGCTCTATTGCGCTGTGCATGTGTGCAGAAGCGGCACCTCTGGATACAGATTTTTCAGGATGTGCACGGATCCCCAGAATGAATTAAATTTGTAACCAGAGGGTCCACTGTACTTTCTGTACCAAGAAATGCAAACTGACACAGCATCCTTTCCAACACTACAAATCTATCATTTTATAAATGCTTGTTAAATAGCCAACATCATTTAATCTCCCTGCTAACCTGTCAGGGTGAAAGCTAGAATAATGGGCTACACAGAAGTGACCTCAGTTCTGCCTGCAGGTGGCTGCCCATTGAACCCAGTATTTCTAGAGATGGAGGGGGGAGTAGAGAAGGGAGCTGCCTTGAAATGGTCGCTGGGTTGGGGGCCATTCAGCCCTGCTCCTTTTTCAAACTCCCCCCTTTGTGCTTTGGCTCTCCAGCATCCACAAGCTCAGGAGCAAAGTGTCCGAGGAACATGAAGTTCTCAAGAAGAAGGAGTTGGAAGCAGCGCCCAAGGCGTCCTACGGTTACGGGGGCAAGTTTGGCACGGAGAAGGACCGCATGGACAAGGTGCAAAAGGGGGAGGGGGCTGTTCTCTGGATGCTGCTAAGGTTTCGGGTTTGTTTGTGTATTGTGTGTGTGTGTGTATCCAAGAAGCAAGGGCCCATTTTTCACGATAGTAAGCTGGACCCTCACCCTCACCTCTGTTTGGTGTTTAAAATATTTATTTCTTAATTTGGGGCTCAAAAAAATAGGGGTCGTCTTATACATAGGTAAAGGTAAAGGGACCCCTGACCATTAGGTCCAGTCGTGACCGACTCTGGGGTTGTGGCGCTCATCTCGCTTTATTAGCCGAGGGAGCCGGCATACAGCTTCCGGGTCATATGGCCGGGTCATGACTAAGCCGCTTCTGGCGAACCAGAGCAGCGCACGGAAACGACGTTTACCTTCCCGCTGAAGTGGTACCTATTTATCTAATTGCACTTTGACGTGCTTTCGAACTGCTAGGTTGGCAGGAGCAGGGACCGAGCAACGGGAGCTCACCCCGTCATGGGGATTCGAACCACCGACCTTCTGATCGGCAAATCCTAGGCTCTGTGGTTTAACCCATAGCGCCACCAGCATCCCGTTCGTCTTATACATAGGGGCATCTTATACACGGAAAAATACGGTACCTCCTCTTTGCGAGACAGATTTGTCACATCTGCAAGTGGGCAGTGTGGGGCTCGTGAACTGATGCTGACAACACCCCCCTTTGGAGTTGTCATCATCATGACATCATCATGACGTCAGGTGATTAACATCGGGGGCCTCCGTCATCTGTCAAAGTGGTTTGCAGAGAGGGGTGGGGAGCTGACCAACCAAACAACCAAGCCACCCTCGGAATTATCTGCCCAGAATTATCTGGCAGGATTTGACACCACTCTGTCTTGATTTCCCAGAGTGCTCTGGGCCATGAGTATGTTGCAGAAGTGGGAATGCACTCATCTCAGACAGATGCAGCCAAAGGCTTCGGAGGGAAGTACGGGGTGCAGAGGGACCGAGCAGACAAGGTGAGTGTTGAAGTCCCGTTGTGTTTACTTTTGATATCTGCTGCGAGGGTGTTCCACAGGGTGGGCACCACCACCAAGAAGGCCCTCTGCCTGGTTCCCTGTAACTTGGCTTCTCGCAGGGAGGGAACCGCCAGAAGGCCCTCAGCGCTGGACCTCAGTGTCTGGGCAGAATGATGGGGGTGGAGACGCTCCTTCAGGTATACTGGACCAAGGCCGTTTAGGGCTTTAAAGGTCAACACCAACACTCTGAATTGTGCCCAGAAACGTACTGGGAGCCAATGAAGGTCTTTCAGAACTGATGTTATATGGTCTCGGCGGCCACTCCCAGTCACCAGTCTAGCTGCTGCATTCTGGATTAGTTGTAGTTTCTGAGTCACCTTCAAAGGTAGCCCCACGTAGAGCGTGTTGCAGTAGTCCAAGCGGGAGATAACCAGAGCATGCACCACTCTGGCAAGACAGTCCTGTGGGCAGGGAGGGTCTCAGCCTGCGTACCAGGTGGAGCTGGTAAACAGCTGCCCTGGACACGGAATTGACCTGTGCCTCCATGGACAGCTGTGAGTCCAGAATGACTCCCAGGCTGCACACCTGGTCCTCCAGGGGCACAGCTACCCCATGCAGGACCAGGGAGTCCCCCACACCTGCCCAACCCTTGTCCCCCAACAACAACCCCAATCCATTAACCACCATCCATCCTCTAACTGCGTCCAGACACTTTCCAGACATTTTATGATTCTTTGAATCTCATTCTGTGCCTCTGAAGCTCCCACCTCTAGGTTACTGCTAGGCTGAGGGATCGTGACACTGGCCTGCCCCACTCATAGCACGTTGATTGCAAGCTCTTGGGGGCAGAGAGCTGTCCTTTTTAATTCCTTGTGTTGTTCTCTGTGGGTCTTTATATGTACCTATAACAACAACAACTTTTCTCACCTTCTGTTCCCACAGTCGGCTCTCGGTTTTGAGTACAAGGGTGAAGTCGAGATGCACACCTCCCAGAAAGGTAAGATTGGAGATATTCCTGCTGCTTCCTCTCATTCTCCCCTTCCCCCCTTCATTTTTTTGTTTTTCAGAAAACATTGGGGAGCTGCATCACAAAATTTGGAGAAGTGTGATTTTCAAAGGGCGTTTGTGTTTTGGTTTGCTTCTCGATTCAGGAAATGCAAACAGCCAAACAGATTCCTATCCCTGGTGTCTGACTGCAGCCATCCCCCTGCCTCTCTCTCCATGTGCTCCAAGGCCTCTGGAGAGGGAAGGGGCATTTTGAGCATGTGGAGACGCACAGGAGACCACATTTGTCCATGGCTGTAGGGCAGGCTGGAGCATGACGATAGATGCATACAGAGCTATGCACCAGAAGGCAGTGCAAAAGAACGTTGTCTCCTACTGGAGTTCAGCCCACCATGAAACGCGGAGAGCATTCTCTGTTTTAAGCATTTGGTGCTCCACACCTTAGCCATAAAGACTTCCAGAATGTCTTACACACAGTCAGAACAAGACAGTCCCTACCTGCAGGCTCACAGTCTAAAAAAACACAACACACGAGGGGAAATGGTCACGGAGGGAAGAGGAAAACAAAAACCCAGTCACCAGTTTCTTTTTTTTTCATTTTAAATTTTTATTACAAATTTCAACACAGTAATTTTAAAAAATACATCCTCCACATTGTTCCCCCCTCCATTTCCCCCTCCCCCTCCCCCCTGAACAGAACCCCCCCCCCGACTTCCCTCAGCTCCTTTCTCTGGTTTCTCAACACATCTTTCTATCTGCATGTTATAAAATTGTGAAGATCCTCAAATTATCTATCTATGTAATATAATGCAAAGTTTGTGAATGTTTATTCAAAACCTGCCAAAGAGTCCAGTTTATTTTGTTGCTTCTTCAAATATTTCATAAAAGGTTCCCATTCATCTTTGAAGTCACAGTTATCCTTATCACGTAGTTTGTGTGTCAATTTTGCCAATTTTGCATAGTCCATCAGTTTTTCTTGCCAAAGTTCTTTCGTCGGGATTTCCTCATTCTTCCATCCTTGCATAGACAGAACAGTCTCAGCCTTCTGCTGCTTCTTGAAACTTCTTCTCTGTTTCTGGAACAAATGACTTGCCCACCCACCCACCCACCCACTCACCCACAATATCCAACAGTGTCTGCATCTCTCTGAAATTCACCAGGTTTCACCTCCTTGCAGATTACGCCGTTGGCTTTGGGGGCAAGTATGGTGTGCAAAAGGACCGTCAAGACAAATCTGCCCTGAGCTGGTCGCACAAAGAGGAATCGAAACCCCACGAGTCCCAGACAGGTGGGTGTTGAATGCCTCCCGGTTCAGAGAACGATGTGGGTGGAGCTCTTGGAAAGAGACAAGCAAGCCTTCATTGTGTTGTTTAGCCCCAGTCTTCCTCAACTTGGTGAAGTCCAGGGATTGCTAAACTCCATCACCCCTAGCTGTTAGCCATGCAGACTATGGGGAGTTGGGGTGCAATTACATCTGGAGGACACCTGGCTGTGGAAGGCTGGAGTCCTGTGTTTGAGAAGGATATTGGCAAGCTGGAAGATGTGCAGAGGAGGGCGACCAGGATGGTCGAGGGTCTGGAAACCCAGCCTGATGAGGAATGGTTGAGGGAGCTGGGTATGTTTAGCCTGGAAAAGAGGAGGCTGAGAGATAGGAGCCAAAGTTCTGAAGGGTTGTCCCATGGAAGATGGAGCAAGCTTGTTTTCTGCTGCTCCAGAGGACTCCCAAACCAATGCTTTCAAATGACAAGAAATGAGATTCTGTGGAACATTAGGAAGAACTTTCTGACAGTAAAAGATTTTTGGCAGTGGGACGGACTCTCCCTCAGAAGGTGGTGGACTATCCTACCTTGGCGGTTTCTAAATAGAGGTTGGATAGATATCTGTCAGGACTACCTTAGCGGTGATTCCTGCATTGCAGGGGGTTGGAGATGACCCTTGAGTCTAATAATAATAATAATTTATTATTTATACCCCACCCATCTGGCTGGGTTTCCCCAGCCACTCTGGGTGGCTTCCAACCGAATATTAAAAACAATACAGCAATTAAAAACAAGTTTATGATTCTCTGTTAACTATCCATAGCTCAGTTGTTGGGGAAACCCTGAGAGCTCATGCCTATAGAACAGAGGTTGCTAACCTCCAAACCACAGGCATGCAGTGGCCCCCCCTCATGCACATTTCCTTCCCATCCCACTATTTTGGGAACCCCATGAATCCCATGTGAGGGAAACCGATGCTGTTGTGCCTTGGTGTTGCTTGTGAGCTTCCCAACTGGGGCGCCTGATTGGCCACCATGAGAACCATGGATCCAGCAGCCAAGATCTTCTGGTGTGGGGCAGACCATGGAGCAAAATGGGGTCAGCTCTTTCATCTTTCTGAAATTCACTCGTCCCCCTTGCAGATTACGCCGTTGGCTTTGGGGGCAAGTACGGTGTGCAAAAGGACCGTCAAGACAAATCTGCCCTGAGCTGGTCACACAAGGAGGAATTAAAGCCCCACGAGTCCCAGACAGGTGGGTGTCAAATGCCTCCCAGTTCAGAGAATGATGTGGGGTGGGGGTGAAGCCCCTGGAAGAGGCTGTCAAATGTATAGAGCCCATCATGGAGATGGGCTTGCCTTTGCTGAAAGGCTCCTGTGGCTTGGTTTCTGGAGGACAATTCATTTCCTCCCTTTCCCCCCTTCCCGCATTGCAGATCATGCCAAGGGATTTGGGGGCCGCTATGGGGTGCAGAAGGACAGGGTGGACAAGGTAAGCAGAGCTCGCCCCTCCACCAAAATGCCCTCTATGGGGCAAATAATCCATGCGGATAAGATCCTATGAGCACCCATGATTGACCTTCTCAGAGTCTGGTTCTGGGAGGGAATGATGCGCAGCCTTTTGCGGCAAGACCTCCTGCGTGGAGGTGAGGAACCTGTGGCATCTCTGTCCTGGCCAGCTGGGTGTACTGTGGACCTCTCTTTGCAGAGCGCTGCCGGTTTCAACGAGATGGAAGCTCCAACTTCCTCGTACGAGAAGACAACGCCTGTGGAGGCCGGTAAGTCTTTCCCCAGGCCAACCTGCCTATTTGCACCAGAGCCTTAGCAAGCCGTCCATAGAGGGGAGGTCCATAGAGGGAAGGTGCCTCTAAGTGCCTCCTGCACTACGGGCTCTAGACTGAGCCAGGAGGCTGGAGAAGGTGCCCCCCAAGTCCCCCCAACTCCACGGTCCACTATAAAGTCAAGTTGCATCATGCATGAATTTTGCTTCAGAGAATTCAGCCACACACGCTTGGCTGCAGCTCCATTCTAGATCCATTCCAGCCTTTTTCTTCTGCCTTCATCTCTCTCTCTGCCTGCCTCCTCCTCCCGTCGACAGGTTGCTCACATGTGGAAGAGTGAGGGGAGGCAGTGGAGACACTGGGGGGGGGGAAGCTCCATACGGGGCTTACCCCCCCACTTGCCAGCTAAGGTAAAGGTAATTTTGGCTATGCTCGTGACCCTCAGAACCAACCCTCTGCATATGATGCAACTTGACTGTATATTTTGGAACGTTGTCGGTTGGTTCACTGTGCATTTAAGACGCCCCCCCCCCCAAGATAAAAAGGTAAAGGGGCCCCTGACCATTAGGTCCACTTGCGACTGACTCTGGGGTTGTGGTGCTCATCTCGCTTTCTTGGCCGAGGGAGCTGGCGTACAGCTTCCGGGTCATGTGGCCAGCATGACTAAGCCGCTTCTGGCAAACCAGAGCAGCGCACGGAAACGCCGTTTACCTTCCCGCCAGAGTGGTACCTATTTATCTACTTGCACTGTGACATGATTTTGAACTGCTAGGTTGGCAGGAGCAGGGACTGAGCAACGGGAGCTCACCCTGTTGTGGGGATTCAAACCGCCGACCTTCTGATCAGCAAGTCCTAGGCTCTGTGGTTTAACGCACAGCGCCATCCACGTCCCTGGTACAACTGTATAGCCTCCTGCAAAAGTCAATGTGCTTCGCTTCTGGAACCCCTAGATGGGCCCATGTTGCAGTCCTAGGCACCTGCCTCTCCTGTGGCCCTTCGTGACAGAAGTGGCCTTTTGTTGAAGCCACCCACAGCGCCACCCGCGTCCCTAGATTTTGCGTCCCCCAAGATATCGTAACCCAATTTTGCATGACGGTTCTTGAGATTAAGAAGCAGGTTTCCACCTTCCTTTGGATAAAACCGAGTCCCATTCTGAATCAAGATGACGGACTGAATCTTTCAAAATTAATTTTAATCACTGATCTTGAAGCAGCACTGACTTCAAAACTGCACTGATTTCTTGTGTCTCTTTAAATTCCTGTGCTGCGTTGGGTACGAGGCTGTTAGTTTTATAACAAACTGTGTCATTCAGTGGGTGGGTGGAGGGAGGCTCCCATAGCGCCCACTGCCAAGTCTTCACCCTGCCCCTTGTCATTGTCACCAGCTTCTGCTGGAGCAGGTAACCTGAGGCAGCGGTTCGAGAGCATGGCCAAGTCAGCTGAGGAAGACAACCGGAAGAGGGCAGAGGAAGAGCGAGCATGTCGCCAGGCCCGGGAGAAGCAGGAGCGCCAGGCAGCCCAGAAGCAGCTGCAGGAGCAGGAGAAACAACGGGAACAGGAGCAGGAGGTGAGGCCGGAATTGGATAGATCTAAAGGATCTAAAGGTAATTGGATAGATCTAAAGGATCTGGGACGCGGGTGGCACTGTGGGTTAAACCACAGAGCCTAGGACTTGCCAATCAGAAGGTCAGCGGTTCGAATCCCCGCGACGGGGTGAGCTCCCGTTGCTCGGTCCCTGCTCCTGCCCACCTAGCAGTTCAAAAGCACATCAGAGTGCAAGTAGATAAATAGGTACCACTCCAGCGGGAAGGTAAACGGTGTTTCCATGCGCTGCTCTGGTTCGCCAGAAGTGGCTTAGTCATGCTGGCCACATGACCCGGAAGCTGTACGCCGGCTCCCTCGGTCAATAAAGCGAGATGAGTGCCGCAACCCCAGAGTCGGTCACGACTGGACCTAATGGTCAGGGGTCCCTTTACCCTTTACCTTTAAAGAATCTAATGATTCTTTTTAAAGAGCGGGCGCACCACTGCCTCCTTCAATTCCCCTGGGAATGTCCCGGTGCCAAGGGACAAATTGATGATATCCCCTAGGGAGGCCCGTACCTCATCTGGACACGCTCTAATCAGCCAGGACGGGCACGGGTCAAGAGGACAGGTGGTGGGCTTTCCATCTCGGAGCAGTCTGTCCACATCGGCTGGGGATATCCGGTCAAAGTGGTCCAATACTGGACCCGAGGACATTCAAACTATATCCTTGTTCTTCCTGTGTATGGCAATTATTTGTCCGTGTTGTTTCTTCCTGTCCTTGTAAAATATTATGTCTATCTTTTCCCAGTTGTTGCTGTTCTCCATCATGCCTTGGGCCTTTTATATGTTTCCAGCTTTTTGTATCTTACCTGATCTGTATAAGCTGCCTTGAGTCCACTCTCAGGGAAAATGGCAGAATATACAGTGTAATAATAATAATAATAGTAATAGTTTTATTTAATTTTATCCTTTCAGGAACCCCAGAGAAGTGAGGAGCCAAGGAGCAAGGCTCCAGCCCCCAGACTCTCACCAGGGCCCATGAAAGTGGGCAGAGAGGACATGGGCTTGCCCCCTGTGCCACCGCCAGCCCCTGAGCACCAGGTAAGGGCTCACTCGTGCCCAAGATTGCGATGCTTTGGGGAACACCAATGGAGAGGTGCCACCCAAGAGGTGTAGTGTGGCCAAGGGGGCTGGACAGTTCCTCTCAGTTTGTGGACTGACCTCCTTGTCAGGCGCTCATCCTACACTCGAGTAGGATCCTGGTAGAAACACCTGCCCGACTGGCATGTTCCCTCCCTCCTGGTCTATCGTTCGGGACCTTAAAAGCTTTCTTCAGCCCAAACATCACAGCGACCGATGCCAACAGACACCGGCACACTTAGGGATCCGCAGAGTTTGCACATCATGCGTGACACACCTCAGCAACTCAGCATTTTGGCTAATCTACTTTATTTACATATAAATACACATGGAGCACTGCAACATGGCTCCCTCTCTCTCTAGCATCAGACAGCAAAGAGAGAAAGAACAAAGGACAATAGTCCCATTTCACAGAACGCAGTAACACAAACATCATGTCTCCATCATTTCCCACTCTGTGGAGTCAAAACATACACCGTCATGTGAAAGACAACAATCCCATGACTGCAATCATGGAGCAGGAATTCTAACACTCCTGTCCCTGGGAAATAAGTAGACTTGGGGGTCTGGGGTGCTGGACTAGGTGGGCCCTTAGCCTGACCTAGCAGGACCTTAAATTCCTATATTCTTAAACTTAGGTGAAGGTTATGGAATGACGGTATTAATTTTACTGCATGCAGCACGCTTAAAGAAAATGTTATGAAAATGTTGTGTAGGTGGTATTTAACGCCAGTTAAATTGGCTAAAATGTATAGAACAAAAAATGAACGCTGGAAATGTAAGGAAAAGGGGGGTACATTTTATCATATGTGCTGGACATGTGAAGACGTAAAAGCTTTCTGGGAAATGATATATAATAAGTTAAAGAAAATGTTTAAAAACACTTTTGTTAAAAAACCAGGAGCTTTTTTTCTTGGGTATAGAGGGTAGAGATATACCGAGACAAGATAAAAAATTGTTCTTATATGCAACAACTGTGGCAAGAATTTTGTTAGCCCAAAGATGGAAACATGAGTTACCAACCAAAGAAGAGTGGCAGGTGAATCTGATGGACTTTGCAGAACTGGCGAAACCGATGGGAATGATCCAGAACCAGCGAGACAAAGCATTCCAAAAGGACTGGAACAAATATATATTACATTTGAAAGACAACTGGAAGCAATTAACATCACTGGCAGGGTTATCTGAAGATCTGTAAGGTGAAATTGCTGCATATTCAGGTTGAGTAATTCAATATTTTAGGTAATGGTACAACAAGGATAGGTAACGACGTGAAATGGAAAGATGCAAAGTTGAAATTTTGTAAACCATCAGAGGGGAAGGAGGGAAGCTGTTAGTCTCAGCTGTGCCAAAGAGATAAAATAAGAGGGTACGATGTTAGGTAATGTAAAACCAATAAAACCAATAAAAATAATAAAAAATACAGTGGTACCTCTGGGTGCGAACGGGGATCCGTTCCGGAGCCCCGTTCGCATCCAGGAGCGAACGCAAGCCGCATCCATGCGTTGCCGCTTCTGGGCATGCGCATGGTGTCCTTTTGACCGTCTGCGCATGCGCGAGCGGTGAAACCAGCAAGTAACATGCTCCGTTACTTTCGTGTTGCTGCAGCACGCAACCCGAAAATACTTATCCCGAAGCTACTTCGACCCGAGGTATGACTGTAAACTTAGGTGAATCAGTTTGAGCTGGCAGGGCTCTCATTTTCCTCCCCATCCTCCCGATGCCCAGGCAGCGCCAGAGGAAGAAGAGGAAGAGGAACCCCCTCCAGCTCTTCCTCCACGGAGCCTGCTCTGGGGTGAAGGTGTTGCAGAGCCACCCAAGCCATCTTACATAGCTCCGCCACCACCGCAACCTGTAGACACGGAAAGCCAGGACTACGGCGGTGACTATGAGGAAGTCGGGGGCCCCTTGGACCGCCAGGAGCCTCCCAGCTTGGATGAGGATTACGCCGACGGTGGGGACTACGAGGAGATGCCAGGCGGCCTTGATGGGGATGAAACTGTCTACGACAATGCTCTGGACGCCGACCAGGAGGACTACGAGGAGATCCCAGATCAGATTCCCAGCAACCGTGGGGGAGCGCCCTTGGCAGGTGAGAGAAAGGAAGGCATTCATAGCCCTAACTGGGGTGCCGCCATTGGGGATACTACTACTACTACTACTACTACTAGCAATAATAATAATAATGCAGTGGTACCTCTACTTACAAGGGAGGCGGGTGGCGCTGTGGGTTAAACCACAGAGCCTAGGCCTTGCCGATCAGAAGGTCGGTGGTTTGAATCCCTGTGACGGGGTGAGCTCCTGTTGCTCAGGCCCTGCTCCTGCCAACCTAGCAGTTCGAAAGCATGTCCAAGTGCAAGTAGATAAGTAGGTACCACTCCGGCGGGAAGGTAAACGGCCTTTCTGTGCGCTGCTCTGGCTCTCCAGAAGTGGCTTAGTTATGCTGGCCACATGACCCGGAAGCTGTACACTGGCTCCCTTGACCAATAAAGCGAGATGAGCGCCGCAACCCCAGAGGCGTCCACAACTGGACCTAATGGTCAGGGGTCCCTTTGCCTTTACCTCTACTTACACACACACCTCTGGTTATGTATCCTTTGGGATACACACACGGCATTCCTAGAAGAAGAGAAGAAGAAGAGTTTGGATTTGATATCCCGCCTTTCACTCCCTTTAAGGAGTCTCAAAGCGGCTAACATTCTCCTTTCCCTTCCTCCCCCACAACAAACACTCTGTGAGGTGAGTGGGGCTGAGAGACTTCAGAGAAGTGGGACTGGCCCAAGGTCACCCAGCAGCTGCAGGTGGAGGAGCGGGGAAGCAAACCCGGCTCCCCAGATTACGAGACTACCGCTCTTAACCACTACACCACACTGGCTCTCTCATGGTAGAAACCCGGAAGTATTTTTCCGGGTTTCTACCATGCCGTGCGCATGCGCAGAACAGTCACTTTCAGTTGCGAAAACCTCAGGATCCGACCGGAGCTCCAGAATGGATCCTGTCTGCAACTGGAGGTACCACTGTAATAAATTAGGTATACCCCACCCATCTGGCTGGGTTTCCCCAGCAACTCTAGGCAGCTCCCAACAAAACACTAAAATACAATAACCTATTAAACATTAAAAACTTCCCTAAACAGGGCTGCCTTCAGATGTCTTCTAAAAGTCTGCCAGAAGGCCCTCGGAGCTGGACCTCCATGTCCAGGCTGAACGATGGGGGTGGGCAGTGCTTTTTTTCTAAAAAAATGTTTAGCGCTCCTGTCATTTTCCTACTCATAATGAACTACTGCCCCTCAATAAGACCAAACTTAGATTCACAAAATATTTAGGGGTATGCGTACCCCTGCATACCCCCAGGGAAAAGCACTGGGGGTGGGACTTCTGCATGCAGAGCAGGTGTTCTGCAACTGAGCTGTGGCTCTTCCCATGGATATTTATTGATTTGTTAAATTTGCTTTCTTTTTTTTTTTATAAAATATTTTATTGCAATTTTTAACAAAAGAAAATCACCAAACATATGAAACACCATCACCACTAAATAACAAACAAAAAAGACATAGATAGACAAAGATATAGAACATAAAACATAACAAAGAAAAAAAAATCACAACCTTTCATACATTTTTTCCATAACTATCTGGACTTCCTCACGTCTCCCTTTCCTGCGTTCTCCGTAAAAAAATTATAAACCGCAATTTATTACCTTATTTCAATTCTTATGTTCAAATTCTCGTGCATTTTACCTCTAATTTTATGCCTCTAATTTTAAATGTTTCCATCAAATATTTAGCTGCTTAGTTTAGGCATAAAATTACTGCAAATCTCATCCTTATCATTCCACTTATTCTCATATATCTCTCATCTAGGCTGCTGATACCATATTATTTCCTTTCATGCACTTTCTTAACATTCATACAATTTATAAAAATTTTGTAAATAGTCTTTAAACTTCTTCCAGTCCTCTTCCTCCTCCTCTTTTCCCAGGTCTCGGATTCTGCCAGTCATCTCAGCCAGTTCCATGTAGTCCATCAGTTGCGTTTGCCATTCTTCCAGTATGGGCAAATCTTGTGTCTTCCAATATTTTGCAATAAGTATTCTTGCTGCTGTTGTTGCATACATAAAAAAATTTCTGTCCTTCTTTAACACCTTCTGGTCGACAATGCCTAAAAGGAAGGCCTCTGGTTTCTTAGGGAAGGTATACTTAAATACCTTTTTTAACTCATTGTAGATCATTTCCCAGAAGGCCTTCACTCTCGGACAAGTCCACCAAAGGTGAAAGAATGTTCCTTCAGTCTCCTTACATTTCCAACATTTATTATCATGCAAGTGGTATATTTTTGCAAGCTTGACTGGGGTCATGTACCACCTATATATCATTTTCATAATATTTTCTTTCAAGGCATTACATGCCGTAAACTTTACACCGGTGGTCCATAACCTTTCCCAGTCAGCAAACATAATATTGTATCCAATATCCTGTGCCCATTTTATCATAGCTGATTTAACCATTTCATCTTGTGTGTTCCATTTCAACAGCAAGTTATACATTCTTGAAAGTACCTTAGTCTTGGGTTCTAACAGTTCTGTTTCTAGTTTCGATTTTTCCACCTGGAATCCTATCTTTTTATCCATATTAAAAACCTCCTTAATCTGAGCATAGTGTAACCAATCTCGCACTTTACCCTTTAATTTCTCCAAACTCTGCAACCTCCAAGTTTCTCCAACTTTTTCAATTATTTCCCAATATTTCGGCCATTCAGCCTCCATATTGAGTCTTTTCCGAGTCTTGGCCTCCATAGGTGACAACCACCTTGGGGTCTTGTTTTCTAGTAAGTCTTTGTATTTTGACCAGACATTGAATATTGCTTTCCTGACAATATGGTTCTTGAAAGTTTTATGAATCTTTACCTTGTCGTACCACAAATAAGCATGCCATCCAAAAGCATTGTTAAACCCTTCCAGATCCAGGACATCAGTGTTCTCAAGAAGTAACCAATCCTTCATCCAGCAGAAAGCTGCAGCTTCATAATATAACCTTAAGTCCGGCAGGGCAAACCCCCCTCTTTCCTTTGCATCAGTTAAAATTTTAAATTTTATTCTGGGCTTTTTGCCCTGCCAGACAAACTTAGAAATATCTTTCTGCCACTTTCCAAAACCTTCCACTCTGTCCACAATCTGTAGGGCCTGGAACAAAAACAACATTTTTGGCAACACATTCATCTTTATAGCAGCTATTCGGCCCAACAAGGAAAGTTTCAATCTTGTCCAAGTTTCTAAATCCTTTTTAACTTCTGACCAGCATTTTTCATAGTTGTCTTTAAATAAATTCAAATTTTTGGCAGACAAGTTAACCCCTAGGTATTTCACTTTTTTAACCACATTTAAGTCTGTCTCCTTCTGAAACCTTTCTGTTTCCATAGATGTCAATTTTTTCCCCAAAACCTTAGTTTTCTGCTTGTTTAATTTAAATCCCGCCATCCGACCGTTAAATTTGCTTTCTGCCCTTCATCCAAAGAAAAAAAAAAGGAATAAAAGAGGGAATAAAGCCTACATCATAGAAAGAAGAACAAAACTAAACCATAACCTCACCTGTCCCACAAACACATTCAAAAGGCTGCAGAATATTAATCAGTCAAAGGCTTGGCTGAAGAGGAACGTTATTTGCCTAGCATCTAAAGATAGGCAATGAAGGCGCCAGGCAAGCCTCCCTGGGGAGAGCATTGCACAGACGGGGAGCCACTGCAGAGAAGGCCCCGTTCTCGTGTTGCCACCCTCTGGACCTCTCAAGGAGGAGGCACAGAAAGGAGGGCCTCAGAAGATGTTATCATAGAATCATAGAATCATAGAATCATAGAGTTGGAAGAGACCACAAGGGCCATCGAGTCCAACCCCCTGCCAAGCAGGAAACACCATCAGAGCACTCCTGACATATGGTTGTCAAGCCTCTGCTTAAAGACCTCCAAAGAAGGAGACTCCACCACACTCCTTGGCAGCAAATTCCACTGTCGAACAGCTCTTACTGTCAGGAAGTTCTTCCTAATGTTTAGGTGGAATCTTCTTTCTTGTAGTTTGGATCCATTGCTCCGTGTCCGCTTCTCCGCTTCTCTGGAGCAGCAGAAAACAGCCTTTCTCCCTCCTCTATGTGACATCCTTTTATATATTTGTACATGGCTATCATATCACCCCGTAACCTCCTCTTCTCCAGGCTAAACATGCCCAGCTCCCTTAGCCGTTCCTCATAAGGCATCGTTTCCAGGCCTTTGACCATTTTGGTTGCCCTCCTCTGGACAGGGAGATGAGCTTGATTTCTGTAGTTGGAGTCAGAGTGCTTCTGTTTAAAGGTTCATGTTTCAACTAAGAGTGAACGATGCATACTTTTCACTTGCTCTCTTCTGCTTGTAAAGAGTTTAAGATGCTTTTAAGGTGAAGGAGACAGAAGAGTTATTTGTTAAATAACAGCCTTTTTAGTAAGTTAGTGATGAAGTACAAACGCCTCCTCTACAGATGGCGGGTTAAGGCATTCAAGTGCACTATTGTAAAGGGTTTGTTTGCCCAATGTTTACTCTGTTTGCCTTACACAAAATGAAGACTCTTGTCCCATAAGAAACTGCTAGCGATTAATGCCATGCAGCAAGCCCACTATTTGGAAAGGCTTCCCTTAGTCATGCTGTTTATTGCCTTGCAAGTGGAGAGGCGTGAAAGCGCTTTTCTGATTATGCATTGTCCTTAACAAGGATCTAGCACTTGAAAGTAAAACGGATGTGTGTTGCATTCAAATGGAAATAAAATAGATTGCATATAAAAAAAGGGGGGGGGGAGAGAAAGAAGATGATCTCAGGGTCCGGGCAGGTTCATATGGAAAGAGGTGCTCCTTGAGGTATTGCGGTCCCAAGCTGTTTAAGGCTTCATAGGTCAAAAGCAGCTAATTGGCAGCCAGTGCGGCTGGGCCAGGATTGGTGTAAGATGCTCAGACCATCTTGCCTTGATGAGCAACGTGGCCACTGAATTCTGTACCAGCTGAAGTTTCCAAACCGTCTTCAGAGGCAAGTCTAATAATAATAATAATAATAATAATAATAATAATAATAATAATAATTTTTTATTTATATCCCGCCCTCCCCAGCCAAAGCCAGGCTCAGAGCAGCTAACAACAGTAAAATAATACAGCATTTTAAAATCAATTCATTACAAAATCAGTTCAAATCAAATTAGTGTCAACCATTGGGCTAGAGTTCTGTGAGGATTGCCAAAGGAGGGAGTCAGGCTGTGCCTTGGCCAAAGGCCTGGTGGAACAGCTCTGTCTTGCAAGCCCTTTGAAAGATGTCAAGTCCCGCAGGGCCCTAGTCTCTTGTTCCACCACGTCGGGGCCACGGCCGAAAAAGCCCTGGCTCTGGTCGAGGCCAGCCTAACCTCCCTGTGGCCATGGACCTACAATATGTTTTTGTTTGAAGACTGTAAGGTCCTCCGTGGGACATACCAGGAGAGGCGGTCCCGTAGGTACGAGGGTCCTAGGCCGTATAGGGCTTTCAAGGTTAAAACCAGCACCTTAAACCCGACCCTGTACTCCACCGGGAGCCAGTGCAGCTGGTATAGCACTGGGTGAATGTGATCCACAGTGAGGACCCCGTAAGGAGTCTCGCCGCAGCATTCTGCACCCGCTGGAGTTTCTGGGTCAGTCTCAAGGCCAGCCCCACGTAGAGCGAGTTACAATAATCCAGTCTGGAGGTGACCGTCGCGTGGATCACAGTGGCTAGGTCAGGGCGAGAGAGATAAGGAGCCAACTGCTTAGCTTGGTGGAGATGAAAAAATGCCACCTTTGTTGTAGCTGCAATCTGCGCCTCCATAGAAAGGGAGGTGTCGAAGATTACACCCAAACTCTTAACGGACGGTGCTAGCACTAATTGTGCCCCCGCAAGAGATGGGAGTTGCCACACTTCTGTTTTGAGTCTGTCTCTTTTTTCTGAAGTCTGTCTGTTTTTGCTATTTATTTTGTGTTCTTGTGGCTCTTTTTTCTTTTGTTTAGCTTTTTCTTTGTTGTTTAGCTTGGTGGAGATGAAAAAATGCTGCCTCGTTATATAGCTGCAATCTGTGCCTCCATGTAATATACATTGCCATAATCTAACCTAGAGAGGATAGCAGTGCAGCTGAGGTGGGGGGGGCAAATGGAGGGCTGCCTTTGAATGCACCTGGCCAGGTAAGTGCCTGGGGTGTCCTTCCACGCTTGCTGCAAGTTAGCTTACCCCACCTTCTTCCCTTGCAGGAGCGAGCCAGGCAGGGCTGTGTGCTCGAGCCCTCTACGATTACCAGGGAGGTGAGTCAAATGTTTTGCATCCGTTTGGGGCTTGGGATGTGAGGGTGGTGGGGATGGAGTTCTGGACAGATCACCCACAGCAGATACCATGGAATCACAGAATGGTAGAGTTGCAGGGGACCCCGGGGGCGTATCTAGTCCAACCCCCTTTAATGCAATATTGTCATGGAGAGGTTGTTGAGAAGATGAGATAAGTGGCTATATTATATTTGGGGGAGGGTTCCCTGGGGTTCGGAAAGGCAGGGACAGGAGGAGTGGGGTCTTTTTTTATTTCATAAAATGTACACCCTACTTGATTGTCAGAAAACCTCGGAGCGGTTTGCAAAAAAGGATACTAAACTTATCAGTTGTCAGCAATAATTCCAGACATTCGAGATAAGCATAGACTAAAAGGTCCGTATAGTTAAAGCCATGGTCTTCCCAGTAGTGATGTATGGAAGTGAGAGCTGGACCATAAAGAAGGCTGATCGCCGAAGAATTGATGCTTTTGAATTATGGTGCTGGAGGAGACTCTTGAGAGTCCCATGGACTGCAAGAAGATCAAACCTATCCATTCTGAAGGAAATCAGTCCTGAGTGCTCACTGGAAGGACAGATCCTGAAGCTGAGGCTCTAAGACTTTGGCCACGTCATGAGAAGAGAAGACTCCCTGGAGAAGACACTGATGCTGGGAAAGATGGAGGGCACAAGGAGAAGGGGGCGACAAGAGACGAGATGGTTGGATAGTGTTTTCGAGGTTACCAGCATGAGTTTGACCAAACTGCGGGAGGTAGTGGAGGACAGAGGTGCCTGGCGTGCTCTGGTCCATGGGGTCACGAAGAGTCGGACACGACTAAACGACTAAACAACAACAACAAAAACAGGTGAAAACTCACACCAACTTTCTAAGCAAAGGGGTAGGCTTGTCTAAACAGTTTTTAGCAGGCATACAGTGAAGGAACCTGCCTGAGATCAATAGGCGGGGAGTTCCAAAGATATATAAATGGGTATCATGCGATACCAGTAGCAGTGACGGTTCTGCCAATCAACACAAGTGGGCACATGTGGGGCAAGGCGATCTCGCAGGTAAACTGGTCCCAAGTTGTTAAGGGCTTTATATATTAATAGTAACACCTTGAACCTGTCCTGATAGCAAATTGGCAACTCTGAGCGCAGGTGTTATATGCTGACAAGGCCTTGCACCCATCAGCAATCGTGCTGCAGCATCCTGGATCAAGCGCAAAGGAAGCCCCGTGTGGAGTGCATTGCAGTAATCCAGCCTTGAAGTAAGCAAGGCACAAACTGCTGCAGCCAGACTTTCCTGATGCAGGAATGGTTGCAGCTGTCAAGTGATGCATCACAGGCGTATATTATGGGTTGGCACCTGCAGGTCCCCAAAAAGAGCAAGCTTGGTGCACGTCCAGGAGCAAAACTACATGGGTTCAGGGTGGGCTTTGTACTTGGAAAGACCGGGGGGGTGGGGGGGGCCAGACTGATACAACGGAGAGACAATTGGTACAACCAAGACTGTCTTCTTCTTCTTTGGCGATCCCTCGTAGCCAAGTAAGATTGTCTTCCATAAACATGGTTTTAACAATGAGTCCATAAGTGACTGTGGAGGCCAATTCTGGATCCACGCGTCCTTCCACAGTGGGGACATTGGTTCCTGGGCAGGAGTTGATCCTGGTGTGGATTTGCCAAGTGTGCCTTCCTCTTAGTACGTTTCTCCCTTGTGTCCTGAGTTCGAGTGTCTTCAAAGCCCATGACACCTTTGGTCAAGGCTGTTCTCCAACTGGAGCGCTCGCAGGACAGTGTTTCCCAATTGTTGGTGTGTATACAACATTTTTAAGATTTGCCTTGAGAGAGTCTTTAAACCTCTTTTGTTGACCACCAGCATTACGTTTTCCATTTTTAAGTTCAGAATAGAGTAGTTGCTTTGGAAGATGATCATCAGGCATCCGCCCAACACGACCAGTCCAACGAAGTTGATGTTGGGGAATCATTGCTTTGACACTTCTGTAACCCTGCTGTGGTACCCAGACCGCTGCGCGGGAGAGGAGGGAATCCCAGCTGACTGACTCACCCTCTTTTCCCCTCCCCCTTTTTGTCAGATGGGGACGATGAGATTTCCTTCGACCCTGGAGACACCATCACGGACATCGAGCAAGTCGACGAGGGCTGGTGGCGCGGATCCTGCCATGGCAAGCATGGCCTGTTCCCAGCCAACTATGTGGAGCTGCTGCCTTGAAGCTCTCCGTTGTAATGTGGAAACACCGTGTGCCCCAGCCCCGCTGTGCCCCCACCCCAGCGTCCTTCTGTTTCATACCAGTAGGCTCCAATCCAGCCCCAGAGTAGAGAAGAGCTTGGCTTTCCCCTTGCAAGAATCTCCCAATCCATTGAAATATATATGTGCTTTTCCTTCCAAGTGCAGTTTCCGAATTTGCTCAGGCTGCCTCCGGGCTTGATGCTTCCTTCCTGTTGTCTCTTTCTGAAGGAACCGCAGCTGCCTAATTCAGCTCTCCACCAAATCACAGGAGTGTAGAGTTGGAAGGGACCCTATGGGTCATCTAGTCCAACCCCTGCAGTGCAGGAATCACGGCTAAATAACCTCTGCTTGGAAACCTCCAGCAAAGGAAACCCCACCGCTAGATCGCTCGAAGCAGTACAGTGATGCACAAATGAAAAAACGCAGCTGGAAGTTTGAAAATTCTGGGAAGGAGCCAGCGAAGTTCAAGGGCTGGAGAAGGTGTGCAAAACACAAGCTCAGCTGCCTTGTTCTGGGCAACCTCAGGTGCTGCATCACCAGATATTGCATTAAAAAATTAAAAAATTGTCCAGTAGCACCTTAGAGAGCAACTAAGTTTGTTCTGGGTATAAGCTTTTGTGTGCATGCAAACTTCTTCAGATAACTTTGTCATGGAGAAGTTGTTGAGAAGAGGAGGTAAGTGGCTATATTATATTTGGGGGAGGGCTCCCTGGGGTTCGGAAAGGCAGGGGCAGGAGGAGTGGGGTCTTTTTTTATTTCATAAAATGTGCACACCACTTGATTGTCAGAAAACCTCAGAGCAGTTTGCAAAAAAGGATACTAAACAGTTGGCAGCAATAATTCCAGACATTCGAGATAAGCATAGACTAAAAACAGGTGAAAACTCACACCAACTTTCTAAGCAAAGGGGTAGGCTTGTCTAAACAGTTTTTAGCAGGCATATAGTGAAGGCACCTGCCTGTGATCAATAGGCGGGGGGTTCCAAAGATATATAAATGGGTATCATGCGATACCAGTAGCAGTGTCAGTTCTGCCAATCTAACCTTCAGGTATCTGAAGAAGTCTGTATGCACACGAAAGCTTATACCCAGAACAAACTTACTTGGTCTCTAAGGTGCTACTGGACATTTTTTTTATTTTTTATTTGACTGCATCAGACCAACGCGGCTACCTACCTGCATCCGGATATTGTGTGCGTGTGATCGCACAGACACACACACTTTGCAACATAGGTGGAGGGGAAGCCCTGCTTATCTTTTTGTGTTGCTCATCTTGCAATGCTCTACCAGGGGAAAAACATGCATGACACATCATACACAGTGTGCATAAAAGGATAAAAAAGAAGAGTAAAGTTATTTATATTAACTCAAACTCTTGCATGGATAGAATATGTCTGCCTTCCGCAGCTCTGCAGTCATTTTGGACTACAGTTCCATCAGCCCCATGCGGCTGTGATAGTTGGGGCTAATGGGAGTTGTAGTTCAGAGCATCTGGAGAGCGTCAGGTTGGGGAAGGCGGTGCTCTGAGTTGGTGCCTCTCCATTTTGATGGGCACAGGTTTCAGAATTTGCCACAAAGCAGAATTAACTGCGTGCTTTCAAAAGAGTCCTCAGGGTTCCTAAGAATACTCACCCACATTGATCCCTCAGCTATTAAAAATGAAGTGTTGCTTGTGAAGCTTCACGCTCATTTCCGAAGGTCTCAAGATCCCTACATGGCTGTGGGCAGATGCACATTTTGCTTTTGGGTGGCCCTAAAACCTCCTTTAATTCTAGGGGCTTTTTCACTTGCAACAGGCTTCCAGGAAGACCTGTCAGCCTGTAGGAAGGTAACTTTTCTGATTCCATTAAACACACAAACACACACACAAACACACACACACACAAACAAACAAACAAACAAACAAACACACTGTCCACCATATCTCCCCCTGGGGTCTCAGGGCCAGAAACGAGATCTGGGGCAACCCGGTCAGATGGGCAGGGAATAAATAATAATAATCATCATCGCCACCTCATCATACAAGCCAAGCCAAAGAACGAATTCAAAGATCACAGACACACCATACATTTAAAGTGCATGGTTTGCCTCAAGGAATCCTGTAGTTTGTTAAGCGTGCTGGGATGTGTGTGTTCTGATATGTACAGTAAAAAACAACAGTGGGTTGAGAAAGTTGTATTTCATGGGCTGTGGCTGGATGAGAGATGGCTAAGGGCCAGGGTGGTAGAGAGCAGTTGGGTAGAGACTAAACAACAAAGATGGCGTGCATTTGGCTATATAATGTATGGAAATGCTCTTGCAGACTCTTTGAGATAATTTTCATTTGATTTTACAAGTGTAGAGTTATAACAATACCCAATACATATCCATATTTTGAGATTTCTATGAATCTCCAGACTTCCCACCATCCCCTCCATGGGTCCTATTGTCAACATTTTCAACTGCATATTATTTCATCATCCTTATTTTATACCTCTCAATATCATCCATAATATTAGTTGCATTACAAGTGTTATTAGAATCCTGCTAATGTTTTCATCTGCTTACAGTGGTCTCCTAAATAAATTATGAATTTCCCCCATTCTATCTTGAAGTTTTTATCGTCTTGGTTCTTGAGCCTGCCGGTCAGTTTTGCCATTTCGGCATACGCCAACAGCTTCGTTTGCCATTCTACTTTGGTAGGGACTATAACTTCTTTCCATCTCTGGGCTAATAGCATCCGTGTGGCAGTCGTTGCATACATGAAAAGTCTTTTCTGCTCCTTTGGGATTTTGGTACAGACTCTGTGGACTCTGTCCAGTGATGCACTGCTAAGTCAGATCGCTTGTGGTGTGAGCCTCCGTACTTTGAACTCGCAAAGGGGAATTTCCCCAGGGGTGCTAGGCCCAAGAGGAATCCCTGTTAGTGAGGGAAACCAAAGCCCTTCTTCAAGCCCCCCAGAACCTTCCTCAGGGCTTCCTTCACCTCCTTGTTGCGGAGGCTGTAGATGACAGGATTCAACATGGGGATGATGATGCAGTAGAGAGTGGAGATCAGGGTGTCCACTTCCAAGGAGTAGCCTGCGCTTGGGCGGTTGTAGTTCACATCGGCCATCCCAAAATAGATGATGACCACAACTAGGTGGGCAGCACAAGTGGAAAAGGCCTTGTGCCTGCCAGTGTTGGAGCGGATCCGAAGGATGGCCGACAGAATGAAGATATAGGAGATGACCACCAGGAGGAAAGGGGCCATGCCCATAAAAACGTTCGCTATGTGAAGAGCCATCTCGTTGACGTAGGTATCACTGCAGGCGATTTGCAGAAGAGGAGGGACATCGCAGAAGATGTGGTGGATCTGGTTGACCCCACAGAAGGCCAGGTTGGTGGAGAGCACAGTGTGAATGGCAGAGTCCAAGAGGCCCCAGATCCAAGTAGCTGTGGCCAGAGGGACGCACACTCTTCTACTCATCAGGTGAGCATAGTGCAAGGGTTGACAAATGGCGGCATAGCGATCGTAGGCCATGACGGCCAGCAGGGCGCACTCGGACCCCGCAAAGGTCATCAGGAAGAACATCTGGGCCATGCACTGGTTGTAGGAAATGGTGTGTCTCTGGAGCAAGAAGTTTACCAGGATCTTGGGGACAGTGACAGACGAGTAGCAGATGTCTAAGCAGGATAAATGGCTGAGGAAAAAGTACATGGGGCTGTGGAGGCGTGAATCCAGTTGGATCAGAGTGAAAATCATGGAGTTTCCCACCAGGGTGATGAGGTAGATGGTCAGAAAGAGCAGGAAGAAGAAGGACTGACCTTTGTGGACCCCAGAGAAACCCAGGAAGATGAATTCGGCCACAAGTAGCGTCTGATTGCTGCTTCTCTCCATCAGGGTCAGCTCTGAGAGGAGAACCAAGAAGGAAGCGAAATGAATGGGGGCAAAACCAGGATGAATACATGCAGATTTAATCTATCCTTCTTTGTGGAGCAGCCAAGACCAAGAGCCCCAGCCCAGCTCTTAGGTTCTGGGCTTCCCAGCCAGAAAGGGCAGCTCCCAAGATGGTTGGACATCTCTGCTGCCCTCTCTCACTCTGCATTTTAGATCCCAACAACTAACCTTGTCAGTAAGAGCAATTGGTGGTCTGGGTAACCTTGGAGGAGGTCTGGTCCTTGGGCAGGGGGCGGGGGATAACAGTTCCCTCAAGCCATTGGTTTACCATTTTTGCCACAAGCCCTCTGGGCAATGATGACCTCCCTCTGTACAGCCTTGGGTGGGCACCAAATCCCTTTTGCTGTTTGAACCTCCTAGCCGAGGCAATGCAGAGCTCAGGTGTCCTGTGTTTACATACAAAAGTTCTCCCTTTCTGCTACCAGTGTTGGATGTGTTAGCATTTCTGTAGCAATCATTGAGCAGTCTGATAGGCTATGATTCTCAGAATTAAAGTACTTAGCAAGAGCTTGTTCCGCTTTTTTTTTTTTTTGTAGTAGTAGAAATTGGGAGTTTCAAAAGATTCACTCCAGAAACACCTCCTTATAGAACAAAATCACTTGGTATACAAGAATGACTCCACAACTGTCATCGATCTTCTGAATGTACACACTGGGCACAGAAACACCACATGGCCTGAACCTAGATCAGTGGTTCCCAAAGTATTTTGGGGCTAGTACCCCCTTGGTTCCATAAACTCGTCCGTAGTTTATCCTACCCTATCGAAAGCATTATTCAGAATGGGACTTTGCACGATTTGCTAAAGAAGATAACAATGCAATAAGATTTGAAACAGTGACAACTACTTGCATTTTTATTCAAAAGCCACTTAAAACTATTTAGTTTAGTAAATTTAATTGACAAACTTGAACCAGTGATACCAGCTTTCCATAGTCTAATAGTCCTTTGCACATGTAGTGAATGGTATGGTTTGCATTGGCCAAAAAGATGGCTGAAAGCACTACAAAATGGAAGCAATGTCTTTGAACTGTCTTTGAACTGATCACAAACTGTGTTGTATAAGCGCTAATGAAATGTGGAAAACATCTTGATGTTTGGGCAAAAACAGAGTGTGCTGGAACATAACAGCACAAGGAGGCTTGGTACTGGGCTGTGCACCTTTGCAAAACATTAAGATAAGATCAGAGTTGTGAGACGATGCCAAGGACAAGGATGAGATGTCGCCAAGAGTAAGGACGTGAGATACCAACAACAAGGAGTTGTGTAAGCATCAGGAGCTGCCATGTGTCAGATGAACAAACAAGATGTATAAATATCAAAGCCCTCCACCTTCAGGTGCGTGCCGGACATATGACAGCGCTGTCGTCTGCCACCCACGTCTCTTACTGGATCTGATCAATCCAGTTGAAGAGTGGTGAGTATAGATGTGTGTGTGGTTGTGTGTGTGGTTGAGTGCATGTTCCCTGTCTTGTTATGTTTGTTAATCAGTAAAGCAATGCTGTAGAAAATCCAATATTGGTTGTCTGAGGTTTAATTGTGCTTTCCTAGAGTGTATAATTGGTCTTATTTATGCTAAACATCAAAATATTAAAAGGACCTATTGGTCACAACACAACACAACACAACACAACACAACACAACACAATACATCTCTGCTGCCCACTTGCCTCTTAGTGCCCCCTTTGGGAACCACTGACCATGATTGGAGGATGACAAAGAGAACCCTCTCACACCCCCTTCCTTATCCAAGCGCAACTCAACAGCCCTGCAGTTCTGTCAGTGGACCAGGCTCTTCAGTAGCTGCTGTTGCCACCGTTCCACTTACTCTGGCAGTACTTTTTCGTGGTGGGGGAGTGGGGGTGTCTGTTGCAAATCTGCAGCCAATGAATAAGGCTGATGCATAAACCACTCTGGACTGGGGATGGGCGCTGCGTGAGTCTCGTATTGCATGGGAAGGCAAACCTCCCGAGAAACAGACACACTGCAAAATTCACTCTTCTCTGAATTTTGCAACCCAGTTCTCCAGTCAAGAATTATATCTACTGGGTCTGAGTGCGCATACAAATACATACCTTAGTTCAGATAGCAAACCAACAGGCATTATGTTAGAGGAAATGGCTTTGCAAAGATGTGTATCTTGGGCAAAATCGCTATCAAATTTGTATATTAGGAGAACATTGCACTAAAATGCTGGTGGATTCTCAAGATGGCATTTTTTTTAAAATGTATATAAATAAATAAAAATTCCCAAACTGATGTGGAAATGTGTAGACCTGAATTTTGCAGTGGAAAAATGAGAAATGGAGAGAAACCTGAAACTGACCCAGTGCTTAACACTGGGGGTGGGGGGATGTCACCAGTTTGCTCCCCTGAATGTCAGCTGTACACCAGGCATCTTAGCTTATTTCTTCATTTTTCAAGTTGTTTTAAACATCAGGAACAGTATTACACAGCAGCAGATAAGAAGTTTGCCTGGATTTAAACAAACTGGTGCAGACAGGCGAGTGATTCCTCCCCAATCTACCCTCGTGGCAAATAAAGAATTTCCTAAGTTTGGAGGTTACTTTGTGGGTCCCTTCATTTCTCTGCTCCTCACCTGGCATCTTCCTGCCGAATGAACTTGGATGACGGCTATGACAGCTGCTGCTCTGGGACAGGTGAGGAGACAGTTTCAGATGCTGATGCTCCTTCCAGGTGACCTGGTGAGGAGAGCCAGGCAGGAGGTAGTAGGTCAGAGAAGGTGAGGGGAATGAAGAGGATGGGTGGGTTGCAGGATCCCTACCTTACCTCCTGTCAGAACGAGAGACACACCTGGCTGCCACTCATTTTCTGCCCAAAGAAAAGTCTCCATTTCCTGCTGACCCAACGCACCGTCCTTCATGCATCCCCACATACCTTAAAACTGACCCAGTGTCCTGTGGGTCCCAGTCTGGAAGATAATATGGCTTTTATTGTTTGAGGAGCCCCTGGAGAACTGCATTTGCATCACAAGGA